ACCTTAGCCTCGGTCACGACACTTGAGAAACGGTATGCTTTTAATAGTGTTGTGTCGGGTATTATACTCATCGCCGACGACGTGGCGGGACTTATATTCAAACCCATATACGGCTACATCGCTAACCACGTGCATCGGCCCCGTCTTATAGCCTATTCGTGTCTGTTAACGGGAATGGGATGTTATTTGGCTGCCTTTCCATACTTTATATACGGGCCGACGGTTCACTTATTGGGCGCCTCCATCAACACTAATAAGTCTAATCTGGAGTTTTGTGAAAGTAATCGGACTATTGATGAGGATTGTGATAGAATAGGACAGTCGGGCTATGGTTTCATACCCGTCCTCTTCCCATTCATTTCCATGTTTCTCAATGGCATCGGAGAGTCATCTGTCTATTATGTTGGGATACCGTTCCTCGATGACAGTGTCGATAAAAAGAGTTCACCCATGTATATAAGTATTGAATTTTACTAGTTATATGTATTATAATCATACATTCCATAGTCCTTCCCGTTTGAGTATTTCAGTGAAGTGTCCTTTGAGTTGTAACACCTTTAAAAGGACTAGACGTCAGTTTGAGTAAAAGGTTTCATCAAAAGGACATGTCAGGACTTGCATCAAGGCGTTTAATTGTAGTGCACATAAATCAAAATATTCAAAATTCTGCCATTTCTTCAATAATTGGAATATTTGAAAAATTCTTTCACATAAATTATTTGTACCGTTGGTAACATATATTGGCATAATAAAATCAAATATTTAATAAATGGTCAAATGTGCTATATCAATTTTATAGAGAATTATTGCATTGACTTTCATTTCCACTCCGACTTTATTAACTAATTGTTAATATCTAATTGTTAAATATCAGGGATTTCCCGTCATAATGACAACAATTTTTAAAAATTATTTGATTTTATTATGCCATTATATGTTACAAACAGAACAAATAATTTATGTGAAAGAATTTTTCAAATATTCCAATTATTAAAGAAATGGCAGCATTTTGAATATTTTGATTTATGGGCACTAAAATTAAACGCCTTGATGCAAGTCCTGACATGT